TCATGGAGCTAAGGGATTTGTCTAGCTCCCTGAAGTCTGGGATCACAAAGGCTCCTGACAAATAAAAGTACACTACTCACCCACAATGTGGCTCAATCATTCCCAACACCAGCTGTTGTTGTCCTGAGCATCAACACTGTTTTATATGTCCCAGCATTTTGTTAGAATAATGGAGATGGGCAAATATAAATAAATATGTATAGAGTGATCATGGAAGTTCAGCTGTAATTGTGCACTTTTTAACTTGGCAATGTAAATCTGCTCTCTTTAGATAAGGAATTTCCTTCTGTTGCCCTAGAATTTAAAAAGAAGCAGTGGAGGTGTATTTAGTAAGCTAGTATCTACTGTAGGCAACTTCTCCCCACCCCCAGAAGACATTTAGTATTGTCCCCTGGACATTTTGTCCTTACCAGGGTGAGGGGGTTGTGTGCTACTAGCATTCAATAGTTCAAGACATTTATCAGCCAAGGATGTTGTTGTCCGTTCTATATGACAGGGCAGCCCTTTCTTACAACAGAAGATTTTCTGTCCCAAAATGTCTGTGGTGTTAAAATTGCAGCAACCTCAGCCTAATGAAAACCAGGTATACCACTGGGAGTTTCTTCACATTTAAATTAGTCTTCCCTTCCCATATTCTTTAGCAAGTCATGCATTACATGGTAGCATTTGGTTAGTCATATGATCTGAATGTTTTTGTCTCCCCAAAATTCATATGTTGATTCCTAACCCTGGATGATGGTATTAGGAAGTAAGACCTTGTGGAGATAATTAGGCATGAGGACAGTGTTATTCTGATCAGTGATAGTGTTCTTAGAAAAGAAACCACACAAAACTGGCTTGTTCTTCTGCCATGTAAGGATACAGCTAGAAAGTATTCTTGATGAATCAGAAACTGAGCCCTTGCCAGATGCAGAATCTGTTGGATCATCTTAATTTTAGACTTCTCAAGCTCTAGATCTGTGAAAATAAATTTCTGTTCTGCTGTTAATAAGCTACTTTCTGCCCAAGTTGGCCTGGAAACTCCATCCTCCCAGCCCCTGACTTCCTAGGAGCTGGGATGACAGACATGAGCTGCCTGCTAGTTTATAGTATCTTTTCAGCAGCTACAAAAGAATGGAGCAGTTGGCCTCTGCTACATGATCAAATTTAGGCCAACTGTGTTAGTGAAAGCCTGTAGTTCTAACACTGACAGGACTGAGAAAGGAGGATCACTTGAACCTAGGAATTTGAGACCAACTTGGCAAGATAGTAAAACCTCATATGAAAAATAGTTCACCTAACAATATTTGCTGAATTTCTTTCAATAGTAAAGAAATGAAGAATTAAAATTCAGGTGTGTCTGGAGGAATTTTAGAAGGAAAAAAAAATCCACTTGGGGAAAATTTAGGGGAGATTCTAGATGAACTGGGCAGGACTTGAAACAGCACAATGAAATAGTGTGCTCTGGACTCTTTAGAAACCTTTTAAAATTATTGTTATTAATTTACTTTTTTGTTATTATAGAGGTTATGTACAGAGGGATTACAATTACATGAGTCAGATAATGAGTACATTTCCTTTCATACAGTGACTTCTGTTCCCTCATTCTTTCCTAGTCCCTCCCCCACATCTCTACCCATGAGTTGTATAGTGCACGTTCATCAGTGTCCAGTGAGTCCACTGTTCATGAGTGTCCACTGCTGCACTGTTTCACCCTTTTCCCCTAGACTTCTGTACCCTCACCCCAACCCTTCCAAAGATATACATATGGTAAAGAATCATCAAAAAATAAAAAAACTAAGCTAGGTGCCAGTGGCTCACACCTCTAATCCTAGCCACTCAAGGAGGTTGAGATCTGAGGATCGCGGTTCAAAGCCAGCCCAAGCAGGAAAGTCTGTGAGACTCTTATCTCCAATAAACCACCAGAAAACTGGAAGTGGTCCTGTGGATTAAGTGGTAGAAAAGCTGAAATGAAGAACTGAAAAGCTGAGGGACAGCACCCAAGCCCAGAGTTCAAGCCCCACAACCAACAAAACAAACAAACAAAAAACCCTAAAAATTAAAAAAAATAGAAAATAAAACAAGAAAAGACAGGTCTATTGTTTCCATATAATGGAGTTCATTTTGATATGTATATTACTTTATATAAATATGAAGAGGCATTTAGGCATTGTGCCTCTGTGTTTCTCTCCTATGACTATCCTCTTTTGGTCTCACTGTGTGTATCTAGAATCCTGTATAATTTGTCATATCTTAGTGTGTTTTAGATCTAATTTCCACATATCAGAGAGAACATGCATCATTTGTCTCTCTGAGCTTGGCTTACCTCACTTCACATGACTTGCTCTAGTTCCATCTATTTCCTTGCAAATGACATTATTTTATTCTTTCTAATGGCTGTGTAAAATTCTATTGTTTTTAGGTACCATACTATTTTGGGTCCATTCATCTATTGTAGAGCATCTGGGTTGTTTTCATATCTTGGCTGTTGTGAATAGTTCAGCAGTCTTTAGAAACTTTCCTATTGTGTTGTAAAGAACAAATTCTGAGCCCTGTCTATTAATGAACTCTGAGGCTAGTTCTTGAGATTTCCAAGGATGACAACTGCATAGTACATGAGTAGTGTAGTTAGATATCCTCTGGGATCTAGTAACAGACTGAAATATATGCTCTGGGCAAAGAGAAGTCAAAATAGAGTTCATTTATTCAGGGAATAAAGGGAAGCTAACAGCTGTTTCACATTATTATGGTCTGGTACAGAAGTCAGACCACTGGAGCAGGCCATGGCTGGTATGGGGAGCTTTACACTGATCTTAAGATGCAGAGTCAGGCAAGATGCCAAGAAGCATGGGAGCAGTGCTTGGCATGGGCACTACTAAAGTAGACTTTTGGTCATCTCTGTTCCCATATCTAGTTTTCTTTCTACCCTATTCCTGGGTATTCTGTCTAATACTTGCCCATTTTTTTAGACCTACCTGTTTACCTCCTTATTTATTTATTTATTATTATTATTATTTTTATCAAAACCTGCTTCTGGGGGTTAGGGATATAGCTTAGTGGTTAGTACTTGCTTAGCATGTGCAAGATTCTGAATTTGATTCTGAGCACCAGAGGTGGTAGAACTCTCAACCTAGGTTCTGAAGTAGCCAGTATAATGCAAATGACTTGCCCTATTTCTTTCTTTTTTTCGGGGGGGGGTCCGGTCGTGGGGCCTGAACTCTGGGCCTGGGCATTGTCCCTCAGCTCTTCAGCTCAAGGCTAGCGCTCTACCACTTGAGCCACAGTGCCACTTCCGGCTTTTTTCTTTTTTGCTTATGTGGTACTGAGGAATCGAACCCAAGGCCTCATGCATGCAAGGCAAGAGCTCTACCACTGAGCTACCTTCCCAGCCCCCTGCCCTATTTCTTTAAGGTACATTTACATTTTCAACATGATATAGCACAGTAAGCTAAACTAGGAGAGAATTAATTGCCAGAGTAGAACTTTGACTATCAACAAAAGAGAGTATGGGATCTTGCTCAGAGTTGACCATGTCTGATAATTGATCCCCTTCCTATCAGAGTTCCAAGGGAAAGAGATGTCCTTGTTTTCTAAACAGCCACTGGTGAGGACAGGAGAGAGCCCAAAGAGACATAGTATCTCCTTGGAAAATTCATTAACTATTTACATTGAAATTCAGGCTCCTCATTGCTCAAGAGTGGTCACTTGGCTTAGAGAGAACACAAGCCTGAACTGAGAAGCTTCTGAAGCACTGAGACACCAAGGTCTCTGCCAGGTCAGGAGTCCTGGGGATTGGAGTATGGTTGCAGGGGTGACTTTCAGGGACCCAGGAAGGAAAGAAGCAAGAAACAAGTGAAGAGAGGGGCCACCAGGTAAGATCACTGGGGTGAATAGGAAACAAGCCCCACGACCGACAAAAAAAAAAAAAGAGGAAAGAACTTTTCTAATTTCTGAAGATTTAAGGTTTCAGGAAGAGAAGAAAAGAAAACACATTGTACTTCTGTCTTTGACTGGGGAATGGACAGCAAGATATGGAAGGATGGTTGGTGACTCATGCCTGTCTTACTCATTTTGGGAAGATGTGAGCTCTGGTGCATGGTCCTCAACATTGACTTTTTTAGGCCATGCACTAAAATTTGTCATCAGGGAGTGAGCAGAAATAAGGCCCCAGCAGACCTTTTTGAGATTTATTGCTGGGCACTGGTGGCACATGCTTTTAATCCTAGCTACTGAGGAGGCTGAGATCTGAGAGTTATAGTTAAAGACAGGCCATGCAGACTCTTTTTGGGGCTGGGGGTCCGGTCGTTAGGCCTGAACTCTGGGCCTGGGCGCTGTCCCTCAGTGCTTCAGCTCAAGGGTAGCACTCTACCACTTGAGCCACAGTGCCATTCCGGTTTTTTTCTTTTTGCTTATGTGGTGCTGAGGAATCAAACTCAGAGCCTCATGCATGCAAGGCAAGTGCTCTACCACTGAGCCACCTTCCCAGCCCCCATGCAGACTCTTATCTGCAGTTAACCAGCAAAAAGCTGAAAGTGAGGGCATGGTTCAAGTGGTAGAGTACTAGTTTTGAGTGAAAAAGCCAAGTGAGAGCATAAGGCCCTGATATCAAGCCTCAGTAACAGGGGGAGGACAAAAAAGATCTATTGGCTGATTGGGAGGGGGATGGAGTAAAAATGGAATGCTGTTGGGAGCTGGCAGGGTCGCCTGAAGGAATTTTGGGTTCTTAATGGGTCTCTTACCCTATAAGGGATACAATCTCTGCAGCCCTGTCTATAGGACTCAGAGCTAGAGAAGGTCGATTGGATGGATCCTGATGTCTGGGTTGTGGTGGGGAGAAGGGAGGGGACAAAAATGCATTCATCCCATCTCCTGCTTCCATTAGTCCATCATCTTCAGGAACTAGGAATGGATGGGAGAAGCAGCAAGGTCCCTTAGTACCCGGTGGTCAGCCACTGGCCATCTTCTATCTCTTTGTCCCCATCCCATGCCAGTGCATTTCCATCCTTCTGCAGCTACTGCAGGCAGATTCATCATGTGGATAACTGCAGCGCTCCTGCTCCTGGGTAAGTTCTCCATGAGGTGTTGTCAGTGTTGGTGGTGGTTACAGCAGCAGCAACAGCAGCAGCAACAGCAGCAGGAGGAGGATTTGGGTGGTAGAGAGTAGGATGAGGCAGGTATTGAGAGTCAGAGAGGTAGGTACCAAATAGCTTATTATTTATTTTGGCAGTGTGAAGAGAAGGGGGTTTCCTCAGACTGGATGGGGCAGAAGGAAAAGAGGTGTTGATACCATTCTGTTTTTCCTGTGCTCGAGCCTCTTTGTCCTCCATCCTTTTTTCTTTCTTGCTTTGCAGTTCCAAGCAGAGGGCAAGCTGGTGAGTTTTATGCATCCTTCATTCCATATAACTCTCATTCCAACATCCCTTCCAGTGACTTGCTTGTGTAACTGCTCATTCCTGGGCTGTTCTGAGATGGTATCTCTTCCCACTCTTACTCAATCTCTGGATCTAGGGTTGCTCATGGGCACTCAGGAATGGGTGCTGTCTGAGGATTTAGGCCAATGATTGTGGTCTCCTCTCCTGCAGGGATGGTTCAGTATATGGGCTGAGTCCAGGAAATGAATTTCCTAAGATTTGCCAATCTCAGGCCACATCTTTGGGCACCTCATCTTCCTCTTTCCCTCACTTGCCCCCCACTCCCCGCCCTGCCCACCCTCAGCTACTCTGGAGAAGCCTATACTTTCTCTACACCCACCTTGGACCACAATCTTCAAGGGAGAGCGTGTGACTTTACGGTGTGATGGATACCACCCTCTGCTCCTGGAGCTCCGGCCCATCAGCACACTGTGGTATTTGGGCCATGCCCTCTTGCCCTCTCACAAGAAGAGTATTGAGGTGCAGACACCAGGAGTGTATCGATGCCAGACACGGGGAGCACCTGTCAGTGACCCTATCCATCTCTCTGTATCCAATGGTAAGTGGTCTGAACATGGAGGAAGAGAAAGCATACACCTTTTCTGGTGTAGTAGCCCTCCTATGGGGGAGGACATTGGGCCATTCTATAGGGACAGAAATGATGGCCACATGGAGGACTATCTTGAGTTTCTGGAGTAGGCAGGGGCCTGCCTGGCACTATGTGAAAGATGTAATAAGGCTTACCTAGACTCTAAGGTCCCTCTTGCCTTGCTACCATTTTGTGAGAAAAATAAACATTCCAGCTTCTTAAATCAGCTCAGAGGAGGTGAGCTGGGATGCTGGATAGAGAATTTGGAGGGGGAGGGGATAAGAGCAAAGCAAACCAGGAAAGGCATGGGTTCCTACGTTGGTTGAACAAAAGAAGTCACTATTCCTCCTCCTCTTCCTCCACCTCCTTCTCCTCCTCACGAATAGTACTAAAGTTTGAATTCAGGGCATATGTTTGCTAGACCAGGGTTCTACTACTTGAGCCATAACCCCAGTCCCCACCCTCCCTTTTTGAGACAGGGTATGTAGCCCCATGATGACCTTGAACTCACTATCATCTTGTCCAAGCCTTCCCAGTGCTGGGATTACAAATGTGTGCCACCATATTGGGTTATGAATTATTCTTGGTTAACAGTGTGACATTGATTTACACATCAGTGTCTATAACAGGAAAGTAGGGACAATAATATGTATTTCTGGCTGTTGTAAGGATTAAATATGAATTACAATTCTATTAATGAAAAAAGCTTGACTAAGCTGGGTGCTTAATCAATTTTTATTACAGGCATGTAAATAAATATAAGCACATAGGAGCTGATTGAGAAACTCTGACTCTTGAGAAGTTTCAAGACAGAAAAAAAAGAAAAACAAAGAATTTGTTCATGCAAGTATAGGATTGGCTACTGCACTGGGAATAATTATATAATTGCAGCCTGGCAGGCTGCAATTTATATCAGAATTAAGGGATATTACCCACTCAATGTTCAAATTAGCACTTACATTTCATGGTTATATTCATACTCTGAGGTTTCCTTTTTGAGAATTGTTGTTGACAGAAATAATATAGACCTAATATAGCATACCAATTGTGGCTTGTTTCTTGCAGAGGTATTTTTCATTGTATGGTACCTAAAAGGCAATTCCTACATGCTTGGATTATTACATGTTAGTTATAATAATAGTGATTGGGTAAATCTGGGATTCTGTAGGTGATACCTAAGGCAGTCCTAAGGATGTCAGGCTAGTTTTTCTTCAGAAATTTAGGTATAGTCCAGGTGGTATCACGCCTGTAATCCTAGCTACTCAGGAGGCTGAGAGCTGAGGATTTTGGTTCAAAGGCTGCTGAAAGTCCTTAAGACTCTTGCCTCCAATTAAATAGCTAGAGGTAGTAGAATGCCAGCTTCGACTTAAATAGCTAAGGGAAAAGTGTCCATGCCCTGAATTCAAGCCTCAGTACACACACACACACACACACACAATTAAAGTCTGAACTTAGACATGCAGGACAAAGAGGCCTCAGTTGGTAAAAGAAGGTCTTGGCTGAGAAAATAGGTACAAAGGCCCTGGGCTCAGAGCCCCCTCTCCCAGCAGTTCAGAGTCAACGGTAAGAAAGATTGGGGGGGGGGGACAGAAAGGACCATTAAGCAGGTGCTGGAGAGATAAGCAAGGGCAGGCTTTCCCAAGTCCTGTAGTCATAATTAGGAGTGAGACTGGTTTGAGACTGGAACAAAGTCTGGAGTATCTTTGCCTCTCCATTGCCTAAGGAAAGACTGACCTTTCTCCCCATTTTGAGTCTTATGTGTAATGAGGTGAGGCTCTCCAATGCCAACCACCTCTGGTGGGGACGGAAGGGAGAGCAGCCATGCAGGGCAGGGGTGAGGGGTGTTGGGAGGAAACAGGCTGAGAATGGGAAATCATGTCTGCTCCTGTCTGTTGTAGACTGGCTGATCCTGCAGGTGCCCTATGCTGCGGTGTTCGAGGGAGAACCGCTGATCATGCGGTGCCGGGGCTGGTATGACAAGGTCGTCTACAAACTTCACTACTACCACGATGGCCAGGCCGTGCGCTACTTCCACTCTAGTACTAACTACACGGTGTTGCAGGCCCGCGCCAGCGACAGTGGGCGTTACCAGTGCTCTGGCACCATGCGCATCCCGGTGGAGAGCGCGCCCATGTTCTCTGCCAAGGTGGCAGTGACCGTGCAAGGTGGGGGAGGTCGGGGTGTGTGTCGGGAGGGGGGGGGGAGACACAAATGAGCACTGAGAAAGTCTTGGAGAGGGTTAGACAGGAAAAGGAGTAGAGTTTCAAGCAGCTGCTACTTAGTCAATTGTCTACTTGGCCATGGACACTTAAACAGCCTGCTTGCTTGTAGACTGATGTCCTCCTCCCACCCCCCAGCACGGTTTTCTTTCTGAGGGGCTGGGGGCTGTAGGTGTAAGTTCTGGACACAGCCCCAGACAGAAGGGCGGCAGCGGCGGTGGCAGGGCGTCGCTACGCCACGGGGAGGGGAAATCACCTAAGTGTCGCAGGAAACAGGCGCAGCATTTTCCTTTGAGACTGTCAGTTGGGGTGTAACAAGAGGCCTAGGACTGTCCACTCGTCCTCTTCTCCAACCCTTTACTTGGTCTCTGGTCAGCGAGGGGACCTGGGAGGGGGGAAGGAAAGGGAAAAGTCTCGGGGTGGTGGGTGCCGTGGACAGGAAGACCCTAATTCCTCCCCACGCGTGGACTCAATATGCATCCGGGGCCTGTGGCCTACCCTCTCCGCAGAGCTGTTCCGTACGCCGGTGCTGCGGATGCTGGGCGCGCAAGAGGCACGTGGTGCGCCCCACAGCGCAGTGGTCTTGCGCTGCGAGACTCGCCTGCACCCGCAGAAGCGCGACACCCCGCTACACTTCGCCTTCTACAAGTACAGCCGCCCGGTGCGCCGCTTCGACTGGGGCGCGGAGTACACGGTCCCCGAGCCCGAGGTCGAAGAGCTCGAATCCTACTGGTGCGAGGCATCTACAGTGACCCGTAGCGTCCGGAAACGCAGCCCGTGGCTGCAGCTCCCGGGGCGGGGTGAGTGGCCGCACGTGCTCCGAGATGGCCCGGACCCTCTGTGGGCACCCCTCCAGGGTCCTGCCTCTGGCCCTTTGGATCGCCCCCCCTGCCAGTCTTGTTCTCCAATCGCTCGCTCCCCCTTCCCCCACCACCCCATCTCTCTAATTTCCGATCTCCCCCCCCCCCCAACACACACACCTTTCTCCTCCACCGCCCCAGCCTCTCCGCCAATCCCGGAGTTGGGGCAATGATTGTAGCCACGCCTTATTCCGGGATTGCATTCACAGGCAACCTGGATGACGCGTTCACCACCGCCTCGGCCCCACAGGCTGCGGACTTGGCACCGGGTGACAAACCACTCTCCTTCAGAAAGCCCCTGGCGTCCAGATCGGTCCCGCCCGTCACCTCTGTCCCCAACACCACCTCGGCGGGGCTGCAGCCCCCGGTCCCCCGCGTGCCCACCTCGGGGCCGGCCGCCTGCGCCCCGCCCGCGCCCTTGGAGCAATCGGCGGGCTCTCAGACACCCAACGTGGACCTTCTGCTCCGAGAAATGCAGCTGCTTAAAAGGCTTTTGAACCGGGTAGTCCTAGAATTAAAGGAGCCCCCGGGTCTCCCAGAGCTCAGCGGCACACCTGAGACCCCCAGCTCCCACTACGCAGAGAACCTAGCGACCCCAAAGACCACTCCTGTGGGGAACTGAGGAGGAAGTTTCTGGTCCTTTCTTTGGAGTCTCTCCTTGCTCACACGCAGAGCTTTCACGGTGATCACTGTTGACGCCCTCCCCCTCACTCCCCTGTGGTTTTTAAAGAAGCGTCCATAAATTGTGGTAATCCATGGAGTGTGGTAACCGTCACTTCCGACGTTACACAGCAGTCTGTAACAATAAGCCGCCGCCGCCTCTCCCTCCCCCTCCCCCTCCTCCTCCTGCTCCTGCTCCTCCTCCTCCATCTTTTCTTCTTCTTCTTCGTCTATTTTTATCTTTTTTTTTCTTCCAGGATTCCGTAGGGAAGTATAAAACTGATATTTGTTACTTTGCGGTTTACCTTAAGAAATGAATTTAATCGTCTTTAACTCTTCATAGGAGCCTAGCAAGTACTTATTTCAAGACAGGCACCGTTTATGTAATTAAGCTCATTGATACTACTGCACACTTTAGAACAATTTAGGTGAAGTTTTAATCATTCACGGTAAGTTTACCCTCTGTTAACGTTAGAGATTTTTCAGTCCTAGTACTGATGAGTTCATAGCCTCAGAATCCTGGATTCTATTTTGTTTCAGGCAGGGCAGGTCTCCTATTCCTGGCTATTAAAGGTCAGACACCATGGCTGCTCCTAGCTAGCCACATTCATGGGCTCCAGGGCCAGCTGGCATACTGGTCAAACTAATCTCAACAAAATTTAAATAAGCAATTTGCACTGAGAAATCCTTTTGAGTTGTTTGAACTCACTCAGGGCCTTGCTTATCTAGGATGGCACTCTACCACTTAAAACACACCTACAGCTTTACTTTTTGCTGGGTCCACCCAGGCTGGCCTCAGTCTACAAACTATTCCAGATCTTAGCCTCCTAAGTGGCCAGGATTACAGGTGTGAGCCACCAGCACCTAGCATTGAATTCTCATTTTTAGAAGCTGCTGCCATCTCCTCCCTGCCCCCCCCTTTTTCTCCTTTTTCTTTTCAGAGCTGAGGACCAAATTCAGGGTCTGCTTGCACTTGCTAGGCACTTGCTCCTGCACTGAGCTAAAGTCCCCAAACCCAGCTTTTTTCTTCTTTAAAATCATTCTAACACTAATCTAGGCAAACACATGTGCAGATTAATATCCCATCCTGCAAAGAAACTTTACCGGCAGATAATGACAAAAAATGAGAGGTTGGTTTTAACTCCAATTTCAGGAATTACCTCTCCCCCCCACCAAAGACCAATTTTCTTGGACTTTCCATCTGTCTACTGGAGCCATAGGATCTCTACAGAGCTGGTATGACCTATTTTCAAGAGTTCTCATTGTCTTTAAGTCCTACTCTTTTTAAGTTTTGTTATTAAGACTTAAAACTAATAAGAACTATACCCTCCCAACCTTTTACTCCCACTTGACAGTCACACTTGATTTTTCATGTCTTTCTGGGTAGCTAAACAGAATAACATCAACAGTGTTCACAAGTATTCTTCTTCTTCTATTGTTACGAAGTCACTGTAATTATAAAGGAAAAAAAGGCAGAGGTATGCTAGAACAGTGCAACGTGGTAAGTGCAATGGGGTAAGTAGTCTATGAACACCAGAGGAATTCCAAAAAGAAAGCTGAACCTTGATGCAAAGGCGTCCCCATGCAGAGAAACAAAAGACTGTGGAGTGTTTAAGGAGCTGCAAATCACTGGGGAATTATGTGTGGAGGAGGTGGTGGAAAAGAATATGGGGAAGTAGAAAGGGATCAGAACATCATGTCCTACTACTTCAGCCTGCTGAAGATTTCAAGTAGGTATTTGTATTTTTGACATGAGAACATCAATAAATCTTACTAGAGCAAGTGTAAAAATAGGAAAGATGAATCAAATAAATTGATATAAATAGACAGTTAATTCTAGGTTAATATGCTGGGAACTGGTCTAAAAGTGTCTCAGACTTTGGTTTCCAGTTCTGGAATGAAGACTCATCTAACTGTCAGAACTGTCTTTCAGCCTTCCCTGGTTAACTGCACTCTATTCCAGGGCCTAGGCTCTTTCTCCTTTTCTTTTCTTTTCTTTTTTTTTTTTTGGTTGGTCGTGGGCGCTGTCCCTCAGCTCTTCAGCTCAAGGCGAGCACTCTACCACTTGAGCTACAGCGCCACTTCCGGTTTTCTGGTGGTTTATTGGAGATAGGAGTCTCACGGTCTCTCCTGCCCGGGCTGGCTTTGAACTGGGATCCTCAGATCTCATCCTCCTGAGCAGCTAGGATTACAGGCGTGAGCCCGGCTCTTTCTCCTTTTCAATTTGATCTCCCTAAGCTTTCTATCTTCTCTGATCTAATAGAAAGTGACTACTACTAATGCCAAGAGATTTAATAATCAGAATATCTCAAACCACTTTGAAAAGTTAGTTGAGCTGGGTGCCGGTGGCTCACGCCTGTAATCCTAGCTACTCAGGAGGCTGAGATCTGAGGATCAAGGTTCAAAGCCCCAGCCTGAACAGGAAAGTCCCTGAGACTCTTTATCTCCAACAAACCACTAGAAAACTGGAAGTGGTGCTGTGGCTCAAGCGGTAGAACGCTCACCTTGAGCTAAGAGCTGAGGGATAGCGCCCAAGCCCAGAGTTCAAGCCCCATGACCAACCAAAAAAAAAGTTAGTTGACTATTTTTATTGTGTGTGTGTGTGTGTTGATACTGGGGCTTAATCTCAGGGCCTCAGACTCTTGATTAGCTTATTCATTCAAGGTTGGTACTCTACTACTCAAACCATGCCCCCACTTCCAATGTTTTGCTAGTTAATTGGAGGTAAGAGTCTCTTGTATTTATCTGGCTAGTCTGGCTTTGAACAGTGATCCTCAGATCTCAGCCTCCTGAATAGCTAGGATTATAGGCATGAACAGGCATGGCTGGAACCAATCCTTAAGATTCTAGACTCCCATACCTTAGCTTCTCTAAGAAGTCCAAACCAGATTTTGGATGTTCAGGAATGTCATTGCCATGAAAGTTTGTTTACCAAAAATCCTCAGATACTTGCTGAATAAAAATGCACTTGGTATGGCCTTGTTGACCATTATCTCAACTTTATTCTCTGGAGAGTTTCCAGAGAAGTTGTTATTATTTTATCACTTGAGGGAGGGAGAATAAATTAGTCACTGTTGCATAGCGGTGCATAGCTTTTGGCTGTTCTCTTCCTTTGGAGCAGTTTTACCTTTTACCACAGATGATAAGAAGGCATTAGCCATCTGAAGGACAACTGCCCCTTTGACATAGATGCTTATAGGTAAATTCTATCCTCCCTAGAAGTGATAATAAAATGGCTCCAGGCGGGTATGACTTAGATCAAAAGGTACAGATTTAAAGTGTGTGTGAAGGGAAGGGGGCTGGGTGTCCAGTTTTTATTAAATTCGTCGGCCCAGCAAAAGAAGCTTTTAGTTACTTCCTACAAAGCCAGAGGGCCAGTTTCAAAGAAGCCTTACCCTACTTCTTGGCTCATGCTTAGGGTTTCTTAAAAAATGCACCTTTTTTATTCAACTTTTTTTTCTCCAAGGGCTTTCAACTCTTTTCTAACCAGTTATTCCTTTTCCATCCTGTCTTTTCTAAACACCCTCTCAGTGGCTCTGGATTTGATTTAAAATATAAGATCTAGAACTGACTACCATTCCTCAGATAGTTTGCCTAGAGAGAATAAAGCAGGAAGGCGAGTTTTTATTTTTATTCTGTAAAATTAAGCACTTGTACTTGTGACAGGATGTCAAAAGTGATATTTCAAGATATTATAGACACAAAATTCTTAAGCAGCTCATCACATGCAGAATTTTCAGAGGAAATGCTTGAAGATCTGTTCCTTGGCTTTTCGACCCTCAAATCACAAGGAGATAAAAAGGAAGGGTAATGCAGGATATGAAGAGAAAAGAGGATTTGTAAAGCGATCTCTGCTACAATTCTCTCTCATAGTGGGGAAGTGTAGGACGCTCTTTCTCAAGTCTAATGAGGAAAATGACCATGGATGCATTCAGAGAGTTCAGAAATGTGTCCCCTGATGCTAGAGAAAATGGAAGGAATGGAATTTAGCCTTAAGAAAACTAAAGTAAGATGTAGTGTGGGATAGAAGAGCCTGTTTTAGGATCAGCTAGCACCACAGAATATCCTGAAGACATGTGTGTTATATTTACATGATCACAAAAGATAACAAGCTGGCATGGAGTTGTCTTGGTTCCTGTACAATGAAACCACCAAGAGGGCTAAACAAAATCACCAAAAAGCTGAATTTGCATCTGGATTCGTAGGGGCTGAGAGACAATGTGCAAAGCAACATCTAGAAAATAGATGATCGTCCTTGAGCATGGTACTATGAGAAGGCAATTTCCAAAAGTGGACATCTTCACAAAATCCACAAGTATCCATGGGAAAGTAGTTGGCATTAGCCACTAGTCAACTTCAGAGAAGAGAGAGGGACCTGCCTACCCAAATATGAACTTTTGGTTCCCTTACCTATTAGCTTCCCTCTCTGCCATCTCTTTTACTTTGGCCTCTATGAAAAGCAAAGGAAATAGATGCCAGTGAAAGGAGAGGAGGAGATGGGATAGTGAATAGGGGAATAAATTGAACTTGTTTTACATGGATTAGGAGAGAAAAAAAAAAACAACGGTGTATTTTGATCATGCCATAAAGTACAAATTACTCACTTAAGTTGATTTGTTTGTGTCTGTGTTTCCTGGGGCTTGAAGTTAGGGCCTGGGCATTGTCCCTGAGATTTTTTTTTATTTTTATTTTTATTTTTGTGAACATACTGTACAGAGGGGTTACAATTACATGGGCAGGATAATGAGTACATTTCTTATCAAGTATTGCAGCCACCTCCTTTGTTTACCCTTCACATCCCTTCCCAGCCTCCCCCCGCCCCTCCAACCCCCCCCCCACCAAAATTGTAAAGTTATTTTTTGACATGACAACTTGTACTTCTCCTAGTTGCATCGGGTCCACCTGTATCCTTAAACAACTTGTTTTTCCCCATCTCCTCCACAAATTATACCGACATCAAAT